AATAATGATGATAATAAAAATAATTATTGTAATGATAAAATTAAATATTATAGTAATGAAATTAAAATTAATAGTATGATATATATTATGATGTAAACGTATAGTGAAAATAAGGTAAAAATAAAAATTATCATTAAAAATATTAATCTAAAAGTAAATACAAATTTTATTTTAATATATATTTTAATTTTATTGAACATTTAAAATATTAAAAAATTAATTATTTAAGAGTATAAATAGATATAAAATAAATAATATGAGTAAAAATAAAATGTTACTTTTAAATTCACTCATAATTATTTTAATCTTAATAAAATTATATATATATATATGAATAAAATTGAATTAAAAAATATTATCGAAGATAAAAATATCCAAAGTGAGATGCTGCGGCTTTTCTTGTCAGTGAAAAATTTTTACCTCATTAATGTTACAAAAGCACAACTACAATGCAACTGTATAATCTAAACAATCAATTATAATACAATTGCACCAAAAACTACACTGTAATGTTGGTGTGAGTCTATCCAAATGAGTTCATGGCTCAAATTTCATTCATTTACCCCTTCCTTTCGTTCTGATTAAATTATTTAAAATATTTTACAACAGCTAACCAACCAAGGGGTGGTGGCGCAGTTGGCTAGCGCGTAGGTCTCATAGCTTCTGAGTTATCCTGAGGTCGAGAGTTCGAGCCTCTCTCACCCCACAACCTTTTTTCTTTCTTTTAAGTGTCGGTTCTATAATTTTGGTTGTAGGATTTTGCAAAGAGCAAGAGAGTTTCACTGAAGCAAAAGTATAACAACGGTGAAGGAGCACCACAAAAAGAAAGATAAGGAAGCAAAGAGGTTGGGATTAAAGCGTAAGCGAAAGGTTGAGAAAGACCCTGGTATCCCCAGTGATTGGCCATTCAAGGAACAAGAGCTCAAGGCACTCGAAGCTCGGCGTGCTCGGGCGCTCTAGGAACTGGAGCAAAAGAAAGCTGCCCGCAAAGAGAGGGTATTGCTTCAATGTCTTTTTTATTAAAAAAAAAAAAACACTTTCTTTATTGGTTTTTGGTAGATCTCGCAATCTAAAACACGGCATAGACAATTACAAAGGTGACACGGCTTAAAATTTTAGCAATAATTATTTATAAGTTTAATAAAACACAAAAATGTATTTATGTTTTTCATATTAACACAAATGATGACATTTGATTTTGTATAAAACACGATATAAATACATATGACACAAATACACGAATCACCGGGTCTAGTTTTTGGATTGCGGTTTAAATTGGAATTTTTTCTAGTGGTAGATGGAATTGAAGGAATGGGTTTGATTTGCAGAGGCAGATTGTTGGGAAGTTTATTTTGAGTTGTTGTCATACTCATTTTCTCTAGTTTATAGCTGTCATATGTTTAAGCCCATGAAGGTTATGTCTATTGAATTGCCTTTAACTTTGCAATTTTTGTTTCGAGTAATGGAATGTTAAATTTTTAGTGAATTGGTTACTATCATATTCTGGCCCCTTCTAAATTTTGCCATGAAGTTGCAATTGGTTACTTTATATCTATTGGATCTTTATGATTTCCAGGCAAAGAAGAGGAAGATGGGTTTACTAGAGGATGATGAAAAAGAACAAAATATTAATGAACGAAAGGGCATTGATGATTCTGCTGGAATTGTGAAAGCCCGTGGTAAGCTGATATTAAGGTGGAGATTGATTTGTTCTAGATGGATGGTTCATATTTTTTGACATGTCTTCTTATTTGCAGATACCTAGGATAGAGCTTTCTACAAGGAGTTGGTTAAAGTCATTGAAGCATCAGAAGTCATTCTGGATGTCCTTGATGCTAGAGATCCTCTTGGTACCCGTTGTGTTGACATGGAAAAAATGGTGATGAAATCAGGCCCTGATAAGCAAATAGTATTGCTTCTGAATAAAATTGGTAAGTTCTGTATTTCACTTGCCTATCGTCTCTAGGTATCCTAAAACAGTCACAAAGAAAGAAGGGTGAATTTTCACATGGATTATTTTATTCTTTAACCTCTAAATATTTAGTTGGATTTTGCAATTTCAGTGTATTCGAATGTCCCAGAGTAAATATCAAGGCATTGCTTCCATTTACTTTTATCTTTATTCTTTTACTCTACTTTTTCTGCCTTAAACTGTTTTTAATGAAAACTTGTAGTTCAGATCTTATTCCTCGAGAAGCTGTTGAAAAGTGGCTCAAATATCTTAGGGAAGAGTTGCCAGCTGTTGCCTTTAAGTGCAGCACTCGAGCAGAGATCAAACTTAGGATGGAAGTCTTCTTCAAAGGCAGCCAAGCCTAGTAATCTTCTACAAACAAGTGATTGTCTTGGAGCAGAAACTCTTATTAAGTTGTTGAAAAATTACTCAAGAAGCTATGAGGTACATTTTATTGTTGTTTTGGTCCACGATATAATTTTTTCTGTTTGTTGATGTTTAATGGTAATTCTGTCCTCTATATTTGATGCTTATCTGGTTTGTCTGCCTGTTTAAATTTGTGTTGGAGTCCCTTGTTCTAATCCAAGTATTGATGTCTTTGCCTAACTTTTTTTTTTGGCAGATAAAGAAGTCCATAACTGTGGGTGTTATTGGCCTGCCTAACGTTCGCAAGAATAGCCTAATTAACAGCTTGAAAAGATGCCACGTCGTCAATGTTGGTGGTAGTCCATGGTTGACGAGATCAATGCAAGAGGTTCAATTGGACAAGAATGTAAAACTATTGGACTGTCCTGGTGTTATGCTTCGATCTGCAGGGAATGATGCATCAATAGCTCTTCGAAACTGCAAAAGAATTGAGAAGTTGGATGATCCAGTTGGTCCAGGTAATTCAACCAATGAATTTTGTGTTTCATGTAGCTGTCTGCAACTAACTTGGGATTAAGGTATAGTTTAGTTGATATGGTCTTTGTCGAAGATTTAACTTGCCTTATGGCAATGATCCAACTAGTTTGGAGTTTAGGTGGAGAGTCTACTTATTATTATACTTTGATTAGAAGAAATACAAACTAAGGCATTTTCTAAAATTTATCTTTTCTAACGCATTCATTTCAAAGAAGGTAAATAACAATGCATATGATTTGGGATAATAAAGAGAAATAATAAGGTAAACTTCAGTTTTCTCAACATGCAAACTTTTTTTGAAAAGAGAAATTATGGGAGAAATAAATAGGAGATTTAGGTTCCCAAGTTAGGTTAGAGTCTAAATGATTCATGGAATTACGATGACTTCAAATTCTCCCACAAGATTAAGATTTACCTGTGATATATATAGTGACACGTTAATGGAAATTCAAGTGAATTGTTTGAATGGGAAATCATTTGGTCTCAACTATTGGCTATATTCTTGTCTCGCCAAATTTGAGTTAGCGATACTAATTTGTAATTCTTCTTTATGCACAAAACAGTGAAAGAGATTCTCAAGCTTTGTCCAGAAACACTGTTGGTGGCAATATACAAGATCCCAAGATTTCAATCAGTTGACGAATTCCTTCAGAATGTGGCCACTGTAAGGGGTAAGCTCAAAAAGGGTGGTATTGTGGATGTTGAAGCTGCTGCGAGGATCATTCTGCACGACAGGAATGAAGGTATGCATGTGAATGCAATGCAAATCTGAAAGATAAAAAAAGCTAATTGCTTAGGAAGAAATTGATTCCAGTACCAAGTTAATACATTGCTATCCATTTGGCTTATTTCAGGTAAGATTCCACATAACACCATGCTTCTGGTCAGAAATCAAGGAGAACCATCAGAGGCGAGGATGGTTACAGAACTTGGAAAAGAGTTTAATGTTGATGAGGTTTACAACACAGAATCTTCATTCATTGGCAGTCTCAAGTCAGCGGATGATTTCCATTCTGTTGAACTTCCTCGAAGTCACCCCCTCAACTTTGATGACACTGTGCTGGAGGTTTGTGATTGCTCTTTTTAAATGCTATGGTTCCCCAAGCTGGCTGTTGCATTTGGCGTGCTAATGGATACCCACTCCTATAATGATGTGGATGTGACCCATGAGCATATGTGAACTTAAGTTTTGCATGGCTTGATCTTAAGGTGTTATGCTTATATAAATCTGCTGGATTTATGGTACACATCAGGATAATGCCCAACCCTTGCCATCAACTGAAGGTGATCAAAGTCAAGATATATCTGATGATGGCTATGATGATGAGCCCATGGCTTCTGAAGAAGATGATGCTGAGAAAGCGAAGTCAAAATCTGCTACAAGCGGGCAAAATGAGAAGCTATACGCGGTAGAAGGTATGCTCAACACAAAGATGAAAAGAGCAGAGAAAAAGAGAAGGCAAAAAGCCAAAAATAAATTGACCTCAGGGGATGATGCTATGAATGATGATGACTATGACTTTGGTGTGGATTATATGAAGGAAGGGCCAAACTAATGGTGGGGTGGCAATGTAGGTATTGAAGTTGATGAGTGATGAACATTAACCATACCTAAAATATGTCATGTTGGTAAATCTTTTCTTTTATATTTTGTTGAGAATGTATACATTGAACATGATCCATGCAGGATATCAAAATTTTTGTTTTATTGTAATTTTTTTAATGCTGTAACTTCTTAATGTGTTCATCTGATGAATGCTTAATTTCTTCACACTTGCTGCAGGCAAGAATGCAATGAAATGGAAGAATTTTGTCATAATTTTGTTGTACAAGGCATTTCTCTGGAGAATATGAAATGGAAAAAAAATATTTGAAAGTACAAAAGAAAATTTCAACCTCTATTTGCAATTTTCTTTTAACTTACTTTTAAACGAACGATCAAGCAAAAGTATTGAAGGTTCTTTTTTCCTGGTGATCGCCAAGGTAATTGTTAATTCTCATCTTTTCAGGCAGATTGTTTAAATGTTTATTTTATTAATTTATGTAAAATATAAAAAATTATTATGTTATAATTTGTGTTAATAAGGTAAATATAAAATATATTTTTTATTTTGTTAAATTTATTTAAATTTTGTGAAAATTTAAAATTATTATATCCAAATTGCCATGTTGCCGTAATTTTTCATAGAATTGAACCCATCACTCAAAAATTTTGAAAAGACACTCTAAATAAAAAAAAAAAAACAAGTCAGGCTACCTAGCTTCTGATCGAAGTGAAAAGGAAAAAGGAAGCTCTCCTTTCTTCCTCTCTCTTTCTCTTGTCTCCACGATAAAATCCTATCCATTTCTTTCATTCCCCTTTCCCTCTCCAATGCAAAAACCGCCAAGCCTTCGTCTCTCTGTTTTCCTTCGATTCTATCTCTCTTTCTTTCTGCTAGGTTTAGTGAGTTAGGAGGGTTTTCACTGTGAGTGTTATTGTTTGATGGGACAACAATCGCTGATCTACGCCTTCGTGGCGCGAGGCACGGTGGTGTTAGCCGACTACACCGAATTCACAGGCAACTTCACCAGCATAGCTTCTCAGTGTCTCCAGAAACATCCTGCTTCTTCCAGCAACAAGTTCACTTACAACTGCGATGGCCACACCTTTAACTATCTCGTCGATAACGGCTTCAGTAATCTCCTCTCATTTCGTTTATTTATCTCTCCCTGATCTGCCTTATTTTGACTGCTTCTTTGATCCGACGACGAAGTTCTTTCTGATCTCATTGTTGTTGATCCATTTTTCTTAGCTTTTTATGTGCTTTTTTTTTTTTCCTTTTTAATGATTTGAGAATATGACTAAATTATGTGAATTTTGTTTTAGGTTATTTAAACTAATTGTGTTTAGCATAACTTAATGAGCAAGAAAGGGAAATAGATAGATGAGTTGGATTCTTTCTATTCTAGGAAGTGAGTTGATTTCGATATGCAATAAATTAGACCTGGCAATCTAAAATACAATACGGTGACACCACACAAACTCAATACTAATAATGAACACAAAGATCATATGGTTTAAATTTTGGCAATAACTATATATAGGTTTAACAAAACAAAAAGAAATGTATTTCATTTTTACGTATTGGCACGAATTATGACATGTAATTTTCATGTAAAACACCACCTAAATACATGAATTTTCAGTATTTTACATTATTTTACATGACACGAATACACGAATTGTCATGTCTACAATAAATGAAGTATGCATCTCTTACCATAATAAGTCCATTCTTTAATTTGTGGAGATTAATTCAATGTAAAGAGATGTTTTAACTTGTAATTGAAACTTTCCAAAACTGAGTAGGAGTAAAAACTAAAAGGTTGAATGTTTGGCTGATTCGAATGAATTAAATCTGCATAGAAATCTTGTGATAAAGGCTTTCTTAGCCACATCTTGATGCAAAAAGCATTGATCAAATACTAATATTTTTGAATAATTTAAAATTAAAAACTTCCTTGAACTTTTATAAGTAACTGGAATGCATGATTGTACTTTTATATGAACAATCATGTATGAATGTGTGTTATAATTTAATCATTTGCTCATTCTTAGCAAAATATAATTTTAATTTTTATTGTTTACTTTTGCGTTTTAGTAACTACTAATGGTCAGAACAGAGTATAATTCAAATATTTGGCCTTTTTTCATTTCGATCAAGTGTTGTGCTTTCCAAATCTAGTTTGACTGCATTGTTTGCTTATATTCCCTCTCTCTCTCTCACTCTTTATAGGAGGGTTGTTAACTTGTTATGTAGTTTGATTACTTTAGCATATGATTAATATCCTTTGTTCACATTCCTTATATTTGTTGAAGAATAGGTGTGTTTGGTCCATTAATGTTTGCTCATACATTGAAAGACTGAAAGCCTAGGTGTTCACAACTTGTGTTGGATCCTATATTATGAATTAAGGCTACTTCGTTCCCTACTTGAATTAACCTCCTTCCTTCCTTTCTGCAGCTTACTGTGTGGTTGCCATTGAGTCTGTTGGCCGACAGGTTCCAATTGCCTTTCTTGAGAGAATTAAGGAGGATTTTACCAAGAGATATGGTGGAGGAAAAGCTGCAACTGCTCCTGCAAACAACCTGAGCAAGGAGTTTGGGTATTTTCTTTTCCTTGACCATTAAAGAGAATGCCTTCTTTGTTATCAAGTACATTGATAGCTATGTTTTTATTATCATTGATCTAGGCCAAAATTGAAGGAGCATATGCAGTATTGCATTGATCATCCAGAAGAGATTAGTAAGATTGCCAAAGTGAAAGCTCAAGTTTCAGAAGTCAAAGGAGTTATGATGGAAAACATTGAGAAGGTAATTATTATTATCTTTCATAGTTGCCTTATGTACGTGATAACATGGAGTGCAGTGTGAGGGTTTTAAGTTGGGAAGAATCCGGCTTTAAAAATACCTGGAGCATGAATAATAAAGCATTGGAATCCATGTTGTGTTTTTCATTAACAAATTTATTTTACAGGTTCTGGATCGTGGCGAGAAAATTGAGCTTCTGGTGGATAAAACAGAAAATCTTCGCTCTCAGGTCAGCAAATGGATATCATATTGTTCTACTTTAAAGAATATTTATATAAGCAATGTTCTCTAAAACTGCACTACAGATAGACCATAAATGTGGGGCATTATTTGGGCTTGTTAGGTGTCTGACTGGTAAAAACCTTGCTAACCTCTGACAAGTTACCATTATGTATTATAAAATTTTATTTCGAATAGTTAGCATCATAACTTCGCTCAAATGTTTTCAAAAACTTCACTGAGGATAGAGCATATATAGGGCAATTGTTTGGGCTTGTTATCTGACTAACTGGTAAAACATAAAAATTAAAGTACATTAACGTGAACTGTTACTGTTAGCATCATCACGAAGTAAGTCCAATGCAAGAATGTTAAGTTAAATGTGGGATCCTTGAACATATGTGTCACATAACGAATTGCCTCTTTCATTCAATTAAGCATTTCTTTCATTTTAAAAGTATTTATCAATACTAGTTCTCAAATTTTCAAGGGCTAGCTAAATAGTTCAATTCAAAAACCTGAAAATTTCTCTACTTGATTCTCTTACTGGTGATTCAAAATTATAGATTATGGATTTTGGTTATTTGTTTTGGTTTATTGATCATATAGTGCCGGTATTTATTTTATGGGCACCATAGGCACAAGATTTCAGGCAGCAAGGAACCCAGATGAGAAGAAAGATGTGGTTTCAGAATATGAAGATAAAGCTGATAGTTCTTGGAATCCTGATCGCCTTGATTCTCATCATCGTACTGTCCGTTTGTGGTGGCTTCAAATGTTGACAAATTGCTCACCTGCTATAATATTCTATTGCCATTCATGAATCGGTGTTGTTGCAGTTGCAAGTAACATTGATGCTCCTCTTAGTTATAGAATTTTTTTATTACACGTGCTTTTTTGCTCTAGCCTATATCAGAAGACTCTCTGCTTGTATAGTATAGTTTGTATTTTTGGATTCTTTTGATAGCATTAAAGTTTGTTGATGTGTGGAAATTCGATAAACACCTGTTGGAAAATTGAATTTTGATAAAAATATTAAAAATGGCCCTTTCAGATGATCATGTTTAGGGATATAAAGTAAGCGTTTTCCAGTGGTTCTAAAATCAAGCCTTGTTATAGCTAACAAATCCTCATGGGTTTCATGGCTGGCTTGCCATCTGGGGTATATGCTTTTAAACCCCAATGCCTGGACAAGTTGGCTCAAATTGAGAATCCTATTAGAGTGCAAAATAGGCATCATCTCTTAAAAAATGCTGTTCTAACATTTGTTTTTTTATGTGCTGAAGCATTAAAACATCAACATACGGCATTCAAACAAAGAATCCAACCGATGGTAGAAGCATGTCATGTCCAGAACCCTTTAGATAAAACAAATAATGAAATAGCTGTCCGATCATGGTTATTCAGGAGATCGGTACGGTAGTGACTTCCTAGAGGTGAGAAATAAACCGTTGATTGCTCTTCCAGGAGGAGAAAGATAAGAGCATCGGGCTGAAGATCTACTTTCATATGTTGATTTCAATGTTATCTATCAGCCTAACCTTGCCAAACCAAGCAGCAATGCAGAACACAACAGGACTCTTGATCTCTTCCACTGCTTCCAAACTCTCCTGCTCTACAATCTGCAAACACAAGACGTTGTAATTAGGACACTTCCAATTCAACTTCTTCTAACCAAATAACGGCCGCTAACATAAATTTTAATTTTTAATAAAGAAGGCCACATCCTGAAGACGAGAAGAGATCATAGCAGCTTGGATTTGAATCTCAAATCTATTAGATGTCAACTTTGATTATACAATCCAAATAAATGTGTTCGAGCACCTACTAATGATAGGCCATATTTACCGTTCATAATCATGGATGTTCGAAAGAAAAAACAGCTGTTCTTGACAGTTTCGTGCAACATGGAACAGATATTAAAGCCCACGAAAAGAAATTTCTAAAACTTAATGTTGACATTTTAGTTGAAGTTCATGCAATTATAATAAGCTGGCTGTTTGCTAGTAGTAGAGGGCGTAAGTGAAGCATTCAAGTAGATGCTTGTCCTGTTGAAGCCGTTGGTTTCACACCCAACATGAGAATGAACCTATTGATGGTCAGTTGACCTTAATTAAATAATGCTAAAGAAATAAGGATGACAAAAGAAGGACAAATACAAGAACCGAATGCTTAGGCAAAGAAAGGTGTTAATGAATAGAACCTAACAACGTGGGCATTAATGGAGGATTCAGGAATGTTTTTAAGCCAAACATACTGCTTGAACTTAAGCCTAGTTGATCAGCCAATATACAATGTTTTAATGGCTTCTGATAGTGTTTGAGCATTAATTTCTTAACAAATCCAAACTGTATTAAAAGGTTGAGGAAGAAAGATTGTGGTAGCCAACCTCAGCATAATCAATTCTTCCCCCAGCTTGAGTTATTTTTGTTACAGCCAAATCCTTCAGTTCTCTACATTTAACTTCACCTTCTTCAGCAGCAGATTTAGCTTCTAACAATGACCTGCTAATAGACAATGCCTGCAAAATAAATTCGAACTAATTCAGTTCCATGTACAGGGAATTATATTTGCAGGCCAAAAGAACTCGATTTGTATAGATTAGTATATATAAATTAAATGCAACTGAGCTACTGAGACTCCAAAATAAATACGATTCCATAATTTCCAAGACACAGCCTGGAAATCTCAATGTTAGAAGTTGCAGTAATAAGCCTCACAATGTAAAATGGCTGAAATAATCAAAGAACCTTTTCCCTTTCTTCAGGGGAGAGATGCACATTCCTCGAACTCAATGCAAGGCCGTCACTATCACGCATGATTTCAGACCCCACAATTTCAATGGCAAAATCAAGATCTCGAACCTGTAGCAAATAAGTCAAAAACAGTTCAAATGAAACAGTAAACCTTCCTTTCAATAAACCATTTCAATTGCTACAAATAAGATCAAGAAACAGAGCTATAAATCTCACCATTCGTTGAATAATCCTCCATTGCTGATAATCCTTTTTACCAAATACAGCAACATCAGGTTCCACAATGTTAAACAACTTGGTTACAATAGTAGCAACCCCTCTAAAGAAAACAGGCCTACTTTTCCCACACAGGCCTTTCTCCAATCTCTCAACTCTCACCCATGTTTCATGTCCACTACACTCTTCTTCCACACAGGAAACAACCCCAGCCCCATGACCAGCAGCACAATTCTCTTTTTCATTCTTAGTATTTTGCCTCTCGTTATAATTGTAGTCATACAGATTCTTGGGACAAAAAACAGCATCGACTCCACCAGGAACAGACTTAAGCTTGAGAATATCACCATGGAAATCAGATGGGTATGTTGAAAGGTCCTCGGAAGGAGAAAACTGACCTGGGTTTACATAGATAGAGACAACTATGAGCTGGCTATGATTGTGTGCTTCTCGGATGAGTGACAGATGACCTTGGTGAAGGTAACCCATGGTGGGAACCAACCCAATTGTTTTGCCTTGGGATCTCATCTTTCTTGACCATTTTCTCATCTCATCTTTATCAGTTATTATCACTGGGTTTTTGGCTGCCATTTGGTTGAAGCTGCAAAAAGGTACAAAGTTTTGTTCTTTGGAAATTTGTCAGTGAAATAGATAAACTTTTGAGAATTGAAGGATTGAGGGAAATTTATCGGTGGTTGGCTACTTGGGTTGTTTTTGTTTAGAGAAATGATACAGGAAATGCTGAAAGGAAGACAAATGAACGCGTCCGGTTGGTTGGAACTTGGGAGTAAAGCGCCGCCGCCGCCTGCGCCGCCTTACATAACGCTTGACCTAATATATCAATATCATTAAAATTTTGCTTGCATAAATATCCATTTGTTCAAATAAGAAACAGACATATCCCGTTCCCGCATGTTATTTCCTTTTCTTTTTTTTTTTACATTTATCATTTTAAACTATTTTAAATCATTCAACACCATTATAACTGTTTGTGTATCTATGTTTAAATTATCGACAACCCCATTGATCTCTAAATGATGAGATCTCTTCAAAAATGGGTAGTCTCTTTGATCTAACAGGGGCCCATTCATTCATCACCAGCTCAAGCCCATTGACAAAATCATCATCAAAGCCCAGAATATCTGCTAATTCCGATGATGGCTGCAAGGCTTTAAGCTCCATTAACAAATCCTCAGCTCTGTTCCTGGTTCTAATGTCTACAGAACCTGGAATTTTACCTTGCAAGCTGCAATATCATCAAGAACTGAACCTGCATCATCGTACCTGCCTTGTTTGATCAGGTAAAGGCCCAAATTGCTGCACTTGTTGGCATCTGGATTGATCATCTGGGCTTTTCGATGCACCACCTCTGTTGTCAGGTGGTTGATTTCTGATTGTATGCCCAGCCCAAATTTCCGTGTCACATTTTTCAATATGACAGTTCTATTAGCAGCGCTAGTCTTCAGGTCTCGATTATCTTCAAACAAATATTTCTTCTAATTGTATTGGATTTTTAGTTCCAATAATCAAAATTCAGGAAATCAGGGAGGCAAGAGAGGCTTCCGAGGGAGGAATAAAGAAATATATATATAAACATGATAGGTTATCGGCAGCCATATGAGGGTAACTTGAATTACAGCACAATCATAACCCATCCACTTGCCCTAGGCTAAATGCATAAACACCAATAAAAAAACCCTGCCCACATCCATATAATGCAGAAAGAAACACAACACCACTGCTTAATAATGCTGGAGGATTTTAAGCCACATCTCACGCTATTAGAAACGGTACTGCCATAATTTCCCCACTGGCCCAAAGCAAGCATTTAGCTACAGGGAAAAAAAAAAACGAACTTCAGTCCTTGATTATGCTTTAGTAGCCACCACCCCTTGAGCGACCACCACCCATCCTTCCACGGCCACGGCTATAGCCCCTGCCCCCTCCACCTCTACCTCTTTCATAACCAGTACCTGTCAGAATAGAAGAAGAGCCAAACAAATTTTTATAAGTACGAGTTAGCACATTGAGATTTATTTGTCACCAGATTCTTTTCTCAAATTGAACTTATTTCAGTAGTTTTTGAGCTACTTTGATAGGTGTAACTGCCTTGGCTCGTAACAGCAAAATTTTTTTGTTGTTTAGCATTGCGTTTGGGTCAAAAGCAGCTTTTGAATGCAAAAGCTATTTTCAACTGCAATGCTATGCTAATCGAGGCCTAAGTAAGATTTTAATGATGTTTACTTGCATAGATACACCAAAAACTTCATCAAAGCCATAAAATACTTTCCTTAAATATCCTGTGAATAAAGCATACTTACCACGATAGCCCCAACCTCTTCCTCGCCCACCACCTCTGCCCCAATTCAAGTACCCACCATTATCTATAAGAAATGAGTGAAATATAAGGTATGGTGCAACTAAAAGACAAATTTATACTACATAAAAGTTCTAAGAAAAACATCAATAACCACCATAACACTATTCAAAGAATCAAAATCTATATATATCATACCTTGATAATTTCCATATCCACCCCTGCCCCAACTCCGCCCTCTCCCTCTACCACGAATCCTTCCTCGGCCATATGAATCTAAAAATGATATGCAGGATAAGTTTAGATTTAAAAAATAAAGTTCCTAAAAAACAGCTCCAGAACTACTTGTTCCTGATTTCACCTTCATTAATATCATTATAGGGGATGCGGGCATGTTTGGGTGGTTGCTGCTGCTGATAATTATACTGTGGCTTGGGTTGTTCAACATAATGTGGAGCTTGATACCTGAAGTCACACATGTCAAGTCATATCAGCAAAGAGTTATCTCAATTAAACAAGCAACATAATAATATTTTGGTACCAAATAAAAATTTCCACATTTTCATTTCCTTAAAAAGGTAACAATAGGCAACACAATCAACATCTCATCAATTTACTTTCTCATTGTCCAAAACTGAAACAACATACAAGATAAATTAGATTACCCAGCAGAGTTTTTATTTAGCTCTGTGGTTGACAAGGTGATAGATATCATTGAGACATGGCGAGTCATCTCCACACTGCACAAGACAAGAAATTAAATGCTCAGATGCATAAAAATAAAACCAACACGTCATAAATGTGGATAGAGAAGTCTGGAGACTTACGGAACAAGCCCTTCTTCAAGAGGTTCCCACACATCAGTTATGATCACTGAGCTAATGGCAGTATCTTGATGCAAACGGGGAATCCTTTTCTGTTTTACGGTACAAATAGCTAATCAGGAAAAGTCGGAAAATACAATGCAGGGATGATCAAAAAGGTCCCCCAACCTTTATAATCTCTGCGATGGCTACTGTCTTACTGATTGCCTGTCCCATTGCTTTCAAGACAATCTCCTTCACACGTTTGTCCTAATAAAACATCACCAAAACACTTCAATACAAAAGGGTTAACAGTTTTTTTCCGGCATTAGGGAAAAAAACAAAAAGGGTGCACCATTGTAACGTTCACATAGGGCAAAATTATAATTCATGGTTAATCAACACAAACTAGAATACGCAAAAGGAAGATAAACCAGCTCCAAAGAAAAGAAGGGAAAGGCAGCAGAATCGCGTAAAAAGCAAATTCGCTTTTCAGATTTGATTTCTTCCATATTTAGATGCAACTAATACCAACTCATCTACAATTTGAACTAATTGAACATACATACAAATAATTTAAACATTAACAAAAACAAATTACTGTAAAAGATTAAGAAAATCCCAGATGTTAGATAACTGAAAAGAATAAAAGAATAGAGCAGTTAATAGCTAAAAATTGCGTCAAATAGCCTTATAAACAATCGCAGAGAACCCATTGAATACCAGGGCAAATACAAACAAACAACCCCATGCATCAAAGAGACCCAAAAATCCATCAAGTAAATAACACTAGAAAATTTCTAAACCATGCAAAAATACCCACATCGAATCTCTAAATCAAAAGCTCATTAAAGAAAAAAGCAAACCCCAAAAACAGCCGAGGCGAATAAATTCAATGTTGAACAACCAAAACAAAAAGAGAACCACACAAGCACGAAATGCTCAAGGAACAAAAAGGGCAACCTGCTCTTTTCAAAAGAAATGAGATGTAAAGGAAAAAAAAGGGGGCGGGGGGGGGGGGGGGAGAGGAAGGGAACCTGAAGAAGAGCAATAGCATAGTTGATATAGTTTCCTATAGCGCCTTGAGAAGTGATTCGGATCTCATTCTCGTTAATGGGTGATTCTGGCTTTGGCTTCTCTACTTTCTGGTATCTATCCATTGGAGCAGTGAAGCAGAAAGAGAGGAAGGGAAGAGAAGAAAACCCTGATTAAACCCTAGCAAAGCGAAACAGCAAAAGCCAAAGAGAGAGAGAGGGTAAAGGTGAAAACAAAACGTAGGCTGTTTGGGAGCCACTTTCTTTTCTGGCCTTAACGCCTTTGCCAAGTTTTTTGATCTTTTTTCCTGCTCGGATTCTTATTGGGTTTGGGATTGCTCTGGTTTTAGGGACAGAACATTTTTTATCCTCACACCCTACTGGAAAGCGCGTTCATTCACGGACGGTTTAGATTGGATGATTCTAGGTGGCCCCTTGCCTTTAAGCTCTCGCTTGGATTTTCTTTTCGGATTATTTTTCTTGGAAGTCAAGAAAAGAAAAGTTGAAAGCACCTTAGAAAAAGATAGAGAATGTTTTAGAAATTTCTTTCTTTCTATTTCTTTTTCCTATTCACCCAATAATGGAAAAAGCATTTCGCATTTGTCACGTAACATATAATATAGGTGTTATATATATATATATATATATATATCTCAAGTGATTGATTTAATTAATTAAAATTTATTTGTTTTAATAAAAAAATTTTAAAATTGAATTTAGTTGATGATTATTTATTGAGATAATTTTAAATGTATAATTTATAATAATTTATCTTAAACTATAAGATATAACACATGATATATTTTATCTTGATTTAAGATACTAAATAATTTATTTATTTTTAAATTTTTTTCTTATAAAAACTATATTTATAAAATATAAAAATTATCATATTAATTAATTAATATATTAAATATAAAATATATGTTATAATTTTTTATTATAATTTTAAATTATATATATTTAATATTATATTATATTTAAAATTATTAAATCTACCATTTTCCTTATCGGTCAAGTATTACCTATCTTTTAAACTTAGGGTGTAACTTGTAAGATTTTCTTTTTATTTTCTTTAGTGTTACGGAAATGTGGCACTGTTCTGGTATTTGTCATCTAAGGATGCCCTGAGTTCAATTGGAAAATGCCATCCAAGCAAAAACAAATACAACATACCTTTTTCTCTTGTGGTTGGTGGAATAAAAAAAAAAAATTCATAAAAAAAGTTAAGAGTGATAAGATTCATATTAGATCGAATTTAATTTAATTTTTTCACATAATATATAAAATTATGAATTTTTAAAATTTGATTTAAATTTGAATCGATTTTTTTTTAAATTAATCTGATCCAAATTGAATTCTAGTAGTTCGATTCAATTTTATTTTTTAATTTTTAAAATTTAAATTTTTATATATTATTTTAATAAAATTTTAAGTATATTTAAATAGATTTATATATAAAATAATTATTTTTATTTTATAAAAACTTAAAAATTATAAAAATTAATAAAAATATATAATTCGATTTAATTCATTTTTTAAAAAAATTTTCATATCATAATCTTAACTTAATATATACATTTAATATTTAAATTAAATAAAAAAAATTGATCAGATTCGAGTTAAATATTACGATTTTGAATGAATTTTTTATATTCTCGATTTTTTTTACCCCGGAGAAAAGCCCAAGTTTCATTCCCTGACCAAATTGATGCAGCACAAAAGCAAACTAAAATTGATTTCCATCTAAATGCAGGGTATAATTCTACATCAATGAACAAACATGGCTATTACTAATAGCTAATAGAATCACTCCCTCCGCAGATACTGCAGACCAGCCTTTGGGAGCAAAGTTAAAGCTATATATTTTTTACGATTTAATATTTATACAAAAAATTGATGAAATTCGAACTTTCATTCCCTCAAGCATTTTACTCCACACTCTTAATATCGTTAATTAAAGTACTGATGTGGTTTAAACGGTCAATAACAACTAACCAACTGTCCAATAAATGGCTAAGGTCTTTTTCCTTGATTCTTCAATAGATGAGCATTCAGATGTATGATTTCTGCCATGGCAATCTCCTTATAAAATTGTGCGTCAAAACTATATTAAATCACAGAGGATAAAAGATGTATTTAACATTACAGAATAGAAACCTTATTAAATCACAGGACGACATTACAAAATGGATTGATATTCCAATCACCTGTAAACAAAAGAGTGTAACTTTGCTCAGCCTCGTTCTTGAGCTATTGCACAGATGACTTTATTTTGATTTCATGCATGCGGCTTTGACAAATGACAATTATCTAATTTTGGGAATATGACAGGTTGTCATATTGAAATGAAACAGAAAGATATCGACAAACATATCTATCGAGCATCCTTTGATAGAAGCTCGTTCGTTTCGACAGCTCGAGCATTGCAGAATTCATCAGCACAGTCTCCCCTTTCAAATACAGCTGCAGCCCCCATTCCACTGCCTGTATAGGACAATGGAGTTGGCCAATTTAGTTTCTTAAATGAACCATGCTAAATGTTTGTCAGTTCAATTGTTAAGGCTTGACAGAATTGGTGATTATAATTGCTGACTGACAAATTTGTTTGGTGTATTGCAGATTAAAGAAAAATCCAATAGCTGATTACTACTTAAAGTCAGCTGGAAGAACATTAGACCTACTACAAATTTAGTTGAATTGTTTAAAACCAATTCTATTATCCTCTCAATGAGTTAAGTAACCTATGGACAAATGCAAGCCAAAGAAAGGTATTGCTAGGCTTTCACACTTTACCATGTTATCTCCAAAAGAAAAAGGCTATTGCAATCCTCAGTTCATTCGGTTACAAAGTCCATGCTGACATTAAACTCATACCAATGCATTATTTCGACTAAGTTTAGACCTGAATCTGAATCTTCTTTGTTTTTTCATGTTATGTGGAGAGAGAGAGAAAGAGAGAGACCTATGCACATTGAGATCACTCCGAAGCGACAGTCCTTCCCACGACGCTTCATCTCATACAATAGAGTTCCAACACAGCGAGCACCTGATACGCAATATAATACATAGCTTACATTAATACCAGACCACCCTCAAGATCAAGCTTCTCCCCTGGAAAAGTTAGAACAGGTAATCTAGTTTTTGTTTAGACAATAGTATATGTCTATCTTGGCTTGTGAGGAATTTCATTGTTTAATCATGAGCTCAGTTCCATGTGGCAGCAATGGTGCATAACAAGGAAAACTTTTTATTGTAAATCGTCAAATTTCTGTTAGATACCTGTAGCACCCAAAGGATGCCCAAGGGCTATTGCACCTCCATTAACATTGACCTTTTCTCGATCAAGCTCCAATCTCTTACAACAGTATACGAACTGAGATGCAAATGCCTGATCCAAAATTACATATTGCATAATCAGAAAAGGAAGAAAACTTAGATCAAATTCACCATCAAAACAAATCAATCAAAGAAACCCACTACCTCATTTATCTCAAACAAGTCTATATCACTAAGCTCAAGACCTGCATGCTTAACTGCAGCTGGTATGGCAACAGCAGGACCAATGCCCATCACAGCAGGATCCACACCAACAGCAGCAAAACTTCTTCAAAAGGAGCATAAGAAAGCAGTGTGAGGGACTCAAAAATGTGAATTTACTAGGCAACTTGCAGTTATTAGGCAAGCACTATTCATCGTTTTTAGAGACTTTGATATAAGAGTTTTCATTACCTGAACACACCAAGGATTGGAAGTCCTTTCTGCATAGCCAAACTTCTCTTCATAAGGAGGACCGCTCCTGCACCATCACTTACCTGGCTAGCATTTCCTAAGAAACAAATCGGTAGACAACTTTTATTCAAATTGCATGATTATTCTTGTCAAGGGAAAAAGTTTCACAAATTTCATTATTATTATTATATACCAGCAGTTGTTGTCCCATCCTTTTTAAATGCAGGCTTCAACTTTGTTAGATCTTCCATGTTTGTGTCAGGGCGAATTCCATCATCCACCAAAATTGTAACAGGCTTCTCTTCTCCAGTTTTGGGATCCACAATCTTTGCAGATTAAGATAAATCAGTGAAAGATCATAAAAGTTCTAAACCAAAATAATTTACCACACAAAATTACCTTAGTAGATACAAGGATAATTTCATCTTTGAATTTACCAGAGGCTGTTGCAGCAGCAGCACGCCTATGAGATTCAACCTAAGTTTACAAATGTAAGGCATTTCACACTAGTAAAGATCACATTCACATCAGGAGATAAAAGTACATAGAACAATTCACAAACTCACAGCAGCCTGGTCCTGCTCTTGCCGTGTCACACCATAACGCTGTGCAACATTTTCAGAAGTAATGCCCATAGGAAGAAGACAATCCCGGACTTGGGCAAAGCTCTCTACCTGTAAACATAAAACCAGTTGCATATTAACACATCAATATAAAACATATCTAAATAGTTAACCCAAGCAATATGTTTGACATACCTTTGGGTTAACTTTGCCTACCCCAGGAACAATTTTATCAGTTGTCATGCTTTCTACACCAGCACCAATGCCTACATTTTAAACCAAGAAGGTTAATACCAAGGTGAAGTTCAATTGCATATCCAAATAAATCTTTCTCAGCATTCAAATATATAGATAAGATCAAATATCCTTACCAATATCATAAAATCCTGCTTTTATACAAGCAGCAACATCAGCAACTGCTTGTAGGCCAGATGAACATTGCCGGTTGACAGTTCTAATAGGCACCGTATCTGGTTGAGACAGATAACTATATTAGCAATATGTATATGCAAAAGACACTGTAAAAAAAGAAACCAACAATTTAGAATTCAATGCAAGTGTTCCAATTTATATTTCTATTATCAACATAGTAACAACCTTGGTAATGACACCAGATGCAGCATGACAAAAGCAATTCAAAAATGAAACGAAAATTCAATAATTTTCGAAACAACAGACAGTTCAAGTCCCCAAAAAGACAAGAAATCATAAAAGGGTCCAAGAATAAGAAATTTGAAAGACTAACTATACCAGGGAAACCAGCATAGAATGCTGCCATCCTACATTCCATTCCTCTTTGAGAGCCCGGTGCCAAAACTGTACCGACAACTATATCAGCTACTTCACTTGGGTTCAGCTTTGTTCTGTCTATCAAAGCCTGCATTGAGAACACAACTTAAGATAGGAGGCAAAACAAATCTGATTTCATAGACAACTGACTACATAAAAACCAAAAGCATCTAACCTTCAAAACAGGGGCAAGCAAATCATCTGCAAGTGTATCCTTGAATCCTCCACGCTTTGCCTTGCAAATAGCAGTGCGGCATGCCCTGTGTAACAACATTTTTTCCTTCATTGATGCAAAATTAACATATCAAAGAAACGTATAAAACACGATTTATAAGTACTAAAGCAACTTACGCCACAACCACAACATCATCCCCAAAAGCAGCCGTCCGGTGATAAGCAGCGCTATCCCCAGCAGCACAAATTGAAGGCTGATCAAATGATGATAACAAACCCATTTTCAAAAGAAAATAAAGAAACAATAAGAACAAGAACAAAATCCATTAAAAGGGATCAAGCTTACAAAGAGAGCAGCAGAAGATTGATTGGATTGAGCAGAAGAAGAAGAGGGTCGTAAATGATCAAGCAGAATTCTCTGTCTCTTGACTGCTTTCTCCATATCCATCTGTCTTCCTCTCTGCCTTTCACTTGTTTCCCCTCCACTGGAAATGCCGAAATGGGTAATATAATAACTCGACTACTGCTTTATTGTAACTGGCCAAAAAAAAATCTACTTCTTCGTTGTCCTTGCTGTCTTTTTCATGGACTTGGGGCTGGAAAGTTTGGTCAGATGTTTCAGAAGGGGACGGCCAGCTTGTAGCCTTTACAGATAAAATGGCTTTTTTTTTTTTAATAAATAAAGAATCTGCCAAATTTTTTTTTGTTTGCAGTTGGAGTCATCCACGAAAATTACACCCACGTTTTTCAGTTGGACGGAGGGATTTTTAATTTTTAAAATTTTTTTTTTGGCTGTTTCTTTGTTTTATTTATCTTATTTTATTTTGTTTATGAAAAAATACCATATAATTTTAAATTTTAATAAAAAAAATATGATTTTGGATGATTTAGTATGATATTAAAATTTGCACTTAAAAATTACAAGTTTAAAGAAATTTATATATATTATTTTTTCTCTTAAATATAAAAATAGAATATTTAAAGATAAATTTAAAATAAAATTAAAAATTATTATTATATATTAATTTAATAAAAAAAATATTTCATGTATGACTTATCATATAAATTATAATGCAATATATTTTATATTTAATATAAAATAAACACAAAAAAATTTAAATTTTTAAATAATTTTTATTTTTTATCATCTGGAGTTTTCAATCGCCGCCTTGTTAACTTGTGAAAGACAAACTGAGATTTGGAAAATCTCAATTCTCAATTATAATTAAAAAAAAAGGGAAAAAATTTCAATTCAAAAGCTGTTTTCATGCAAGCAAAAGGCTAGTTTTTGTTCACAAAATTGAGAGGTGGTCGGAGATTAGGAGCTTTTGAAACGTGAAAAACCCTTTTTCCTCAGCCAGGTGTGACGGTGAACACTATTGTTTCTTACGACGAACCGTCGCCGGTCAACCGACGAAGATTGTTTCAACGACACCATATGTGCTCTGACGGCTTTAATGGAAAGTCTGTTTTTCACTTGTACATATGAAAACGACACGTTTAATAATGACTTCTTTAAATTCGTATGCGGAGCAAATCGTAATGTGAACATGAAATATCCAACAACTTTTATTTTTAATTTTAAGGTAATTTTTATTTTTATTTTGAATTATAAAATATTAAAATTATTATACTATAACTCTCATCGATATATAAAATATTAAAATATTTTTATTAATTTTATCAAAAATTTAAATTATATCAAACCCATATATTTAAGGAGCTCTTTCACTTGTAATTATCATTAGAATTGCTGGATTTTTACCGTTGTATTTAAGTTTCCTGGCTGTACTTTTCAGAATTATTGTTTCATCAAGCACCACGAAATGAATGAAGATGTGGAAACCATGACAGAATGGAAATAGACCAAAGCAACTCGAATCCAATGCCCTTTTTCTTTTCTTTGTATATAAATATAAACGTACTGTTTTCTTCGAAATCATCAATGGCAAACTTGCCGGAGAACTCTGTTAATGCTCACTTGAGGGCTCACTACAGTGACCTGAGTTACTCTGTTACAAGAGAATAAGCAAATGAAGATACACTTACAAACAAAGGTGAGGAAAATAAAAAAATTGGCCATTATTGATCGAACTCGAAGATCTATTAGTGTGATTCATACCGCGAGATTAGGGCTTGTCTGTCTTGCCTGATGATTGTTATGTCCCTTGGGCTGAAGCAACATGGACATGGATCGCAGCCTGTTTGTTATCTCGGTAAATGATGGTCTAGATTCAGGACCAGGAGACCAGCACTCTTCCATCAGCTTCCTCCAATCAGGATCACAACGTTCTGGAATGGGAGGTCGCAGATTGTTCTTCACGTTCTCCTTGAAATCACGTACCAATCAAACATAAAAGCCAAATTTAGGTGAAAAGTGGAAGGTTTTTGTTTATTTTTCAGACATGGCAAAAAAACTGGAAAGGTTATTAATACACAACCAAAAAAACATGGAAGATGGTTAAGTGCATGCAGTTTATCATATGGCTTCAATTTATTTATATGAGTTTGTTTAGAACTGTTGTTTTATTCTCTTACAGTAAAAGAGCTTGAGCCAAGGTGAAAATAATAGCACTTTGGATCCGGAATTTAATTCAAATCAATCATGTAACACTTTTTAAAAGTGATATCAAATTTAAAGTTTGAATCTCAATACTTACCATCCATTACTTTATTTTTAACGTGTGATTTTGTATAAAAAAAAAAAAACCTCTCCATGAGTTTTTGTGATCTTCATCTTCAAACCTACAATTTGATTCAGTGTCCTACTGATCATTGATATCATCATTATTAACTTATGAGTAAACTTCCACTGAAGCCAAATTTAAAAGGCAAGTATATTAGTTTCTTCGAGCCTATTTTGGTTTACTTTTTGAAACTCTCTGTCTTCTTGTCTTACTTTAAATAAAATATTTTAAATAGTAGAGGGAAAATCACATGCAAATCCTCATACTCTAGGTAGATTTGATTTTGTAAAATCCAATCCATATATGCCAAATAAAATATCGAAGCACCCTTTTAGCTTAATGTATCGCCTTCATAGTTGGGGGGCGTTGGTTCCAAGTTCTAGTAAAGCTTGATCTTAGGGAGTTTTCGCAACACAAGCAGCTATTTGTTGGTACTTTTTTTTGGTTTGGTGCATGTGGGAACTCGTTTGGACTTTGAGTAAAACAAAGAGAGATAGATCTCTCTCTTCTTGATAATACCACTCTCTCCTCTGAGACCTCCAAGCGGGGATGGATGCATGATTTTAAATCAGTGGGGGCAAAATTATCTTAAGGATTCTTTACAAGTTTATGCAAATTGTATAATGAAATTTCATGTAACATTGAATTAGATTTAGTTTAAGTGGTATAGGTTAACTGACTGATAATTTAACTCCTAATGCATTTTTTTTTTTGGTGAATAAAAAGAAGTTCATCAGAGGAGCCTTGGTACAACGGTAAGGTTGCTGTAATGTAAGATAAGATTTGGAGGTCATAGGTTTGAGTTGTGAAAACAGTTTCTTGTGAAAAATGTTAGATAAGATTGCATACATTAGATCCCCTATCGTTTCCCAGTCCCCACGTTTAATGGGAGTTTTACTCACGAGGGTGCCCATAAAAAAACAAAAAATTTGTCATGAACTCATCACCCATGGCTATAAGGTATGCCAGGTGAAAGAGAGAGCCATTGAACTTGCCAAGGCAATGGAGAATGAGGATGGGGCGACTGCAGCAGTAAAAGCATTTTTTAAGCATTTTCCTCGCGAAAAGCCCGATGAGCCACAGCCATCCAATTCCAGTCTATTTTGCATTAGTAGATGTTTTCTTTGTTTGTGAATCTTATGTGCCTGTTTGTTTCTTCCTTGTAACTTGTTCAGATATGTGTTCTGCATTGTCCTCCATGGTGCTTTCTTCCTACCTGAATCAAACATTCTGCAAACCGTTGAATTTATTATACTTCTGCCATCTTTCTTGTAAAATTTGAAGCCTAGTGTCATCAAATCATGGTGGCGATCATTCAAATTACAGTTGATCAACGGATTTAAATAAGTGTAAACTGTTATAACATCTACAGATGAATTTGGTTGTCTGATTAATAATTCGGTTTTCACTTTCAGACTAGGCATTTAATTTCTATATTTTTTCTTCCTTGGGTTTCATCAGTGTAGCCAAAAGAACTGATGGATGCCACGTGTGGGGAAACACAGGGACCAAGACGAGTTGAAGTGCATTGGGTTCTCCACATTAGGTTCAGAAAATGCAAGGCAAGGAATGGATGAAAAGCGACAAATTGCATGGGATTGGCGGTGGAGAAGGCAGCAATTGTGGCTGTTAGCCCCATAACATAATTTAAGGGCAGAGGAATGCAGCCCAAAAGCCAAATGCATGCTTAAAGAGATAGAAAAAGAAGGGACGCTGAATATTAAGGAACCCACCACTCAGTTTCAGATCATGTGGGGACTGAATTGCTTTTAAGGCACCCAATCCTTCGACATTGGCCATCGAAGATCACAAACCTGATCTTAAAAGCTCAGCCTTCTGACAGTCTGACTTCCATTAATTCACATCTCCCCTCCTTTTTCTCACTAGTGTTAACAAGGAGAGACGAAAGCGCTTGAGTAATGTAGCACAAAGTCAAAGCTACCCTCATTGCAATGCGAAAGGCTGGTAGCAACAGGCACAAACAGGTCTTTTTCACCTGCCTTTGTTTGATAACAACAGGAAAATTGACAAATGCTCTTGAAATCGATAATTGTCAGAGGGAGAGAGGGGAGAAGAAAGATTCCATTTTCCAACCCAAAAACATTTCTTCCCACCAATGACACACTTCACCTCAGCATGCAGAAACGTCTTGTAGAACACTTCCCCCACTTATCTCTTTTTCTCTTATCTCTTCTGTTCCCAAGCCCATACCAGTCCCCTTGTGTCAAGCACTCCATTTAATAATTATTGTGCTCAGAGTCTTTACGTTTTCCAACACTTGAGAACTCGGCTTCTGAACTCTCTTCCCTTCTTTTTTTAATCAGATCATCCACCAAAAAGCTAAGTCAGTTGCATTCTTGTTCTCTTTGTCATAGGTTTAATTTCCTTTTCTTTTCAATTGAATTACTACTGTTTCTTTGTCTTATTTTATTCTGCATGAAAACCGACTTCAATCATCTTGATTTGTTCACAGGCATGGAAGATGAGCACCAAGAGAGAGTTTCTCAAGCCAATATAGACGATGGAACAACAAGGGTTTTCCCTTGTTTGTTCTGTTCAAGAAAGTTTTATAGTTCTCAAGCCTTAGGAGGCCATCAAAATGCTCACAAGAAAGAAAGGACTGCTGCAAGAAAGGCTAAACGGGCATCCGAATATGGACCAACCAGCAGCTTCTCATCTTGTCCCACATTACCAATGGTTTATGCACCAGCAAGCCACCATTTAGGCTTTTTACACCCTCCAATGTATATAACAGCTCATGCTGCCAACTTCCGCTATTTCCCGGATCACCATTTATCGAACAGGTTCGGATCCAATGGTGCTGCCAGGTTTGATAATAATGTGGATATGTTGTTCTATGGTGGGAGTAGCAATGGATATCACCACCATCAATTTGAAGAAGACAAGCAACTTTACTTGAATTGGCGGAGGAGCATAGGATGCAATGGAGGCTTGACTCAAGAGCTAGCGACGGCGGAGGATAACAATCAAGGGATTGAAAGTGCTGATCGTAAGGACAAAGATCAAAAGCTTGACCTATCTCTTCATTTATGAAGAAGAGAGAATGATGGCGAAAGTTTTGCTAGAAGTAATTACTGTTTTGGCTTTAATTCTACATGTTTTACAATAAAAAGATATCACTTCATTCATTAATCTTTTGCACATGGTGTGAATGATCTATAACTAACATTTTGAATCATCAAAGATTTTCATTTTCATTTATGATGATCACATCCAAATCCCAAATCTGCCAAATACCATTGATTAAGACAAGGCGAGACGAATCCTAAGATCTAAGATGCGCGAAGGGCAACTATATTTTAAAAATCCATCTGGAAAAGTAGTTAGTAGGCCCAGCTGTACCAACAAGTCACTCTTTTTTTCTTTCCTTTAACAAAGTGGGGTATGGATTTCACGGCACATTTAATGCGATGAAATTGAATTAATAATATTATTAATTGAATCTAAATATTAATTTTAATAAAATTTATTTAATATAATTTTTTTTAAACTTTTTATTTAATTACAATTATAATAGTTTTTTTCATCATAATTATAATAATTATTATTATTATTTTTAATTTTATCAAAATTAATTTCTATCACTCATTCAAATTAATCCTAAAAATGCTTTAGGACTCGGTGGGTGGGGATGGCTAAATGGGCTTTGGTCGAACTAGCCTAAAGAGGGAAGAGTAGCCTGGCCTGGTTCAATTGGTTGGCATTTTCTTGACATGATTGAATTAAAGAGCTAAAGTTAAAAAACTTATAAAATATTATCTTTAATTGTTTGATTTAGTGATTAAAATAATTTAAAAAAGATATTAAAATTAAAATTCGAACTTTAATTTTTTTTCTCCTTAATATAAGACTCTATCTCCTTAAATAATCAAAAAAAAAAAAAAAATAAGAGTAAGATATCAGTTCTAATATGTTAATTAGCTAATGCTACTTGTATAATAACCTCATTTCTGAATCACCTGCGTGTAAAAAATGAATTGGAAAAAAAAAAAAAAACCCATGTGGTTTGATCATTTTTCATGAAAAAGGAAATACTAAATGTTTTATATGTTATCATCATGAAGGAAAAAAATGGTTTTGTCTTAAGGGCTGAATTGGCTTATTCGTTTGCTTTTGTCTCAATCTTTATTACATAACATGCTTGAAAAACACTAAGCACAAGGAAAAAAAAAATGGTTGATTCTATATTTCTTCTTCTAATCTCAAGTTTAAGGTCTATAGCCCTTTTTACCTTTTCTTATTTGTATTTATATATATATATGATTAATTACAAGTTATTTCTATCATTAATTGAAGAGATTGTGTTGATGATTCGAGGTTCCAATTTTTGTACACTAAAAAACATTAACTGTTTAGGTAATATTTTTTTTAACAAAAATCATAATTTGAAGATAAAAAAAATTATGGGTATTAAAATTTGAATCGTAAACTAACTTGATGTCACTTATAAATTAATCGAATTAAATTTCGAATAAACAATAATCTCTTTTACATGTTATCTTATGTTACCTTTCTGTCAATTAAACAAATTCATAACACTTTTAATTGATTATAATAATTTTGTTTGATTTGAGTTCATTTTCCAAGGCATGTTGTGTGTTCATTGGCATGTTCTCTTTTCAGTTCCACAACTTAAGATAACATGTACACTTGCTTGTATCATATGCTTGTTTTCTTCTTCTTCTTGGCATTTCTAAGAACTATGCATGTGTGAAATTCCCATTTAAAAAAAAAAAAAACTTTAGCAGATGGGATCTTGACATTTTGTTGCTCTTTTGAGTCTTGACCAACAAATTACATGAACCAAGTTCAACCACATATTTATAAGCTCTTTGGGGAAAGACAATCCAAACCCATCCAAGTTATGGGCACATGTTTTTTTATGTCCAATTTTTAGTTAGAAAGAAGATGAAGGAATTATTCAATCTAATATTTTATACCCATTTTGTAAAACTTAAATTTCAATTCAATTGAAAAAAAATCAATTCGAACTCAGAAATAATGATTAACAAATTTTTTTGTTTTGTCCTGTATTGTAAAAGAGGAATTAATAAAAAATGTGTAAGTATCTAAATGAGATAGTTATGGGATACACAAAATGAAAATTTAATACCAAATCATATAAATCTCTTCAAAGTTTTCACCTTATCATTGGGAATTTGAAGCAATATGTTATTGACATTGGTTCTAAAAGTTATATCCATTATTATTCATAAAATGAGTTTTTAATTTCAAATACTTAAAATTTAATTTTAATAATTTTAATTAAAAACTTAATATTGAAGTATCTTTTTAGTATAAAATAAGTCATAAGAAATTATCAAATACGTAAAGAGTTTTTTAAGAGCTCTTAGGATTAGAAGGGCGACATGGGTATACTGAAAAAATAAAAAAAATTAATTAAAAAATAAGATTTTAATTTTTTAATTTTATTAATAATATATCAAATAATTTTTCAAAAAAAAAATCTAAAACTAGATAGTAGTATTTTCAAAGGTTTTTTTTTTCAAAGTGGGATAGTTCAAAATTGTACTGCAACGCGTCTTAATTTAAACGTATGAGTACGGTATTTAAGGACAACTGTCCATTGATGGATTTTTATAATCCAACAATTCGTACACTTACCTGATGTTCAGCCATCTTTCCACGTCTCCATCGGGCAACGTGGCTTAACAAGAAAGCGAGTATAATTCTCCATCGTCACTTGCAAGTACGTAATGAAAATTTAAGAAGATGACGTGGAATAAATGGAGCCCATGGTAACTGCTGAAATGTCAGAGGAGATGGCCAGGCACGTGAGCGACCAACACAATGAAACGTAGTAATTTTTGTTTTTATTTTATTTATATGATTTTTTATATAAAATATGTGAAAAATATAAAATTATTTTGTTATAATTTATATTTATATGATATATATGAAATATATTTTTTTAATTTTATTAAAATTATATAATTTATATTAAAATTTTAAATTATATTATTTTTATATCTAATTTAAGATAAATAAAAAATTTATCTTATTATAAAACTTGATCCAATTTAATTTTAAATTAATTATGATATAAAATGATTATTAAATGTCAAGTTGTATATATAAAAATAAAAAAGAGTTAGGCAAAGTTTATTAGATTCAACATTTTTTAATTATTATTTTCCTATAAAAAGACAGCGCCATCCGAGCTTTTTCATTGACTCCAAAATTCATTTTCTTTCTTTCTTTCCTCTATTTTCCGTCTCTCTCCTTTTTCATTTCTTCCAAACAGGGAAAATTAAACACGTTCAGTACTGTAACGTAGAGAGAAAGGAAAAATCAGCAATGGGGGTTTCTCAGAGATTCTTCTCTTTGTTTACATTGCTACTTTTTGTGTTGTTCGTTTGTGTCAAGGCCACCGCAGAGGAAAAAGAGCTGAATTCAAGGTACAATATTTTCAAGGGTAACAATCAGTTCACCTTGAGTTCTCTCTGTTTAGCTAGCTTTTCCAGTCCTGGAAGCAAATTTAGCTGTCCAGCTATTTTGGTTTTTTATTTTCCTCGTGTTTGCATGGCAGGCTTCCTGAAGAAAACAAGGTGCAGAGCTTGAACAACTCATCAATGGCAGACGGGTGAGTAAACTATTAACTTTGACGTAAAAATCTAGCAACCTGAGAGAGTATATAAGCCGTTGAGATTGGATCTGATCAGATATCATATCAGGATCGTTAATTCTGTTATATGTAGTTTAACTCCCTCTGGTAAATAAATTACAGTTGATCAACCCTCTCAACGTGCATTTAAACTCAGAGACTTTCAGTTTCGAAATCGATTCTAATAACATTGAACCAACAACTGTACTTTCAACGTGCATTTCATTATGGATTTTGCTTCTCTTTTCGGTTAACGCTTTTGGGGTTGACAAAATAGTTTTGCACTTTCATTTTTTTCTGTCAGGTTGGAAAATGATAAATGGATAAATGAGCAGGCAGTTGACAATCCTGAAGAAATTGCTTCTATGGTTGATATGTGAGTCTGTCTATCTAATTTTCTACAACAGATTCAGCTGAACTTTCATTTAGCTTTGCATAATTATCAAATTCATAATCTTTTTTTTATTTTACATAATCTTTGAACATTTGAGAAGAGGATGGAATCATGAATACCTCAATTGGGCCCCCACTCGCCACAATGTGTAGTTTCTGACAGGTCCTTTTCTCCTGTCTTCACCGGTTCTCTGTCTTACTTGGGTAGTCAAAATATGCTTTAAGCCATTAGAATTCGGTCAAAACCAAAGGTTCTACATTTTTGTTTAGATCTCTTTTTGTTTTCAGTTGCAGCCAATGATTTGCATGCTTTCATTGTCACAATACTAAATTCAACCATCTCACTTCAGCTTTCCTATAAATTGAATTTGAGTTTTGGTAAGAAAAAAATTTAAAGATAGATAAATTATTCAATTCTTAAGTTAGGATAAAATGTGTTATATTTAACAGTTTAAAATAAATAATTACAGGTAGTGTATATTCGAAATAATCTTAATAAGTGATTATCAATGAGATTCAAATGCAAAATCTTTTCATTGAAGAGGATAAATCTAATCGATTAAATTAATTATTTATTGATTATATATCAATTTTATATCATATATATATAATACAAAAATTATTATATTATAATTCGATATATCAATGAAATAATTTTTTTATTTTATTAAATATATATAAATTTTATAAATTTTTTAAAATATATAACATTCATATTTTTTATTATTTTTATAACATATTTAAAATAAAACATATTGCACCGACACAAAAAAAAAAAAAAGAAGAAGCAGGAATTAGTTCCCACCTTATCATTTACTACTAACTTTTATAGTAGCAAAAATGTGATCTATATCAATTTTCTGTACGGACGGCCGTATGTACATCTCCCATGAAAAGTCACATGGCCAACTCAACAGCGAGAATTAAATTCGATTCAAATACATTTATTTATTTATAATAAAAGAAGTCATAATTTGCAAAAAATTAAATGTTAAAATTTAAAATTTAAATTTATTATTATAATTTATTTAAAAATAATTATATAAACTAATTAAATTAAATCTCAAATTTTCAACCACCTTAATTTAACCACAATAATGATCCATCATTCTTATCCCATTTTTCACATGCTTAATTAACTTTCTTCAATTAATTAATATAATATGATGATAACGTATGATGTTACAATCACGGTTTTTTTTTTTTTTTTTTTTTGTATTTTAAGGACCATAAAAAATAGCACAGAAAGGAGAATTTTGGGATATTTCTCATGTGGAACAGGGAATCCAATTGATGACTGCTGGCGTTGTGACCGGCGTTGGTATCTTAGGCGAAAGCGCCTTGCAAACTGTGGCATTGGCTTTGGACGCAATGCCATTGGTGGTCGTGATGGAAGGTACTATGTGGTAAGTGACCCTGGCGATGATGACCCTGTGAACCCCAAACCAGGCACCCTCCGTCATGCTGTTATCCAGAACAGGCCTCTTTGGATTGTGTTCAAGCGTGACATGGTGATCCGATTGAAGCAAGAGCTTATAATGAACAGTTTTAAGACGATTGATGGTCGTGGTGTCAATGTGCATATCGCTAATGGAGCCTGCATCACCATCCAGTTTGTCACAAACATTATCATCCATGGAGTCCACATTCATGACTGTAAGCCCACCGGCAACGCCATGGTTCGAAGCTCCCCATCTCATTATGGATGGAGGACAATGGCTGATGGGGATGGGATTTCGATTTTTGGATCAAGCCACATCTGGATTGACCATAATTCACTGTCTAACTGTGCTGATGGACTCATTGATGCTATAATGGGTTCCACTGCAATTACCATCTCAAACAACTACTTCACCCACCACAATGAGGTCAGACAGATCTACTCATACATCTTTTTCTCTTTTTTTTTAATAAAGGAGGCCACGTCGTGAAAATAAGAGTTATTGGTTGAATCTCAAATTTGTTTGATGTTTAATGGTTACATGAATCAATTGAACTAAACTAACTAAATTAATTCATGCAAGTAATTTGATGGCAGGTTATGCTGTTGGGACATAGTGACTCTTACGTAAGAGACAAGCAGATGCAAGTGACCATTGCTTATAACCATTTTGGTGAGGGTCTTATCCAGAGAATGCCAAGGTAACATCCTTAAAAATGGTCGATACTGTAATTTCTCCTTTCCTTTTTTAATGTTTTATCATGAATTGAACTCAGCCCTCTTTACCAAGTCTTGCAGGTGTAGACATGGATATTTCCATGTAGTGAACAATGAATACACACACTGGGAAATGTATGCCATCGGTGGAAGTGCTAATCCCACCATTAACAGCCAAGGCAACCGCTACCTTGCCCCTAAGAACCCCTTTGCCAAGGAGGTATATGTAAACCAAACCTACAAAGTTTCCCTTTTTCAGAAGTTGCAATTATGATGACAAAATGATGACAGATTTGTTGAATTTGATGTCGTCAGGTGACAAAGAGGGTGGTCGCAAGGAATAATGAATGGAGACATTGGAATTGGAGGTCAGAAGGAGACCTTATGTTAAATGGAGCGTACTTTACTCCATCAGGAGCTGAAGCAGCAGCCAGCTATGCTAGGGCCTCTAGCTTAGGGGCCAAGTCCTCTTCCTTAGTTGGCATCATAACTTCAAATGCAGGTGCTCTTACCTGCCGGAACGGCCGCATGTGTTAATTCTCATTACTCCAAACTCCCCACCCCAACCAAAAATCGAAGGAAAACAAGAGAAAAAACAAAGAAGAAAATGAAAAATAACTCATTTTTCTTCCTATATATATATATCAATTTATATATTCTGCTTAATCCCTTTTGATAAGTGTACAAAAACTTATAGAAATTGTCGAATTTCGCCTCCCTCATATACAACAACATCTCACTTGTCATAAATGCCGTTGATCGACCTCGGCCTCCTTAAGGTGCCATAGTGTTGTTCACTTCTATATTGCTTCTCTTTGTAATTATGTATTTCCCTTAGAAGTTTCCCCTGTTTTTGTTTTTGGTTTTTGCACTTGTATTCCTATTCTTGTATTCTTCTTTATTAATTCGTTAGCACATAAATTGCACTTGAAGGCAAAATTATTGTGTTGTGAGTAACTAAGTATAGCTTTTAATGAACATTGGATATGTAATTTGTGTTTCGCATTGCTGGCATGTCAGGGAAGATGGCTCAGGGCATGTGCTGCATTTCTCACCTATGAAGCTGTAGGACTTTCTTGCCAACTTGTTTATACGTGACTACGATAATTTGTATATTTATTTTGTATTTATTTCGTGTAAAATGTTTATAATGATTATTTATTGAGGGTATTTCGAATACATTATTTACAGTCATCTGTTTTAAACTGTCAGACAGAACACATCTTGACCTACTGGTGGATTGAAGAACCTATCTATCCTAAATTTTTCTTAAAATATATATATATATATATATATATATTGGTTGAACTTCAATCCTCTTTCAATACATTTAAAAGTATATTTTACGTATTCTTTAATCATATCTTACACCTTCATTTATGGATTTCGGTAAGTAATAACATGAACATTTATTTTGATAAAATAAAACCCAACTTCAAATAGAGTTGGGATTGAAGATGGCAAAAAAACCCGAAACCGACGGATTTCGATCCGATCCGATCTTTTAGAGTCTTTTTTTTTTTTTTGAAAATCGAGTATCGAATCAGGTGACATAAAGAAAAAATCGGGATCGGGTTGGAGTCAGGTTTTAGGCAAACCCGACTTGATATATATAAATAATTTTTTTAATTATTTATTTATATATATATTTATATATATTTAATTTTATATTTATATTAAAAATAATATTTTATTAATTTCGGATCGAATTAAGTCAGATTCAGATATAAAAATAATAAAAAAATTATCGAATCGAATTAAATTCAAATTTTATATATTTAAAGTCGAATCGGATCGAAATGAGTAAAAACTCACCCCAACCCAATTCGTTGCCATCCCTAGTTGGGACAAGTCAAGCTCGTATCAGTTCATATCTTTCGTCATAGATGAGATGTTCAGCAGTCAGTTTGTTTTGCTGTGCGGTTTATTGAGCAATGTTTTTCAAAGAAAGCAAATAAAACGGCCTACCTCTTTGCAATCTGGGATCCATTATGTAACCTATCAAATGATAGTACAAGAGTTCATCAACTAACCCCTAGCTCTTGGACATAAACAAGATAATTTGTATATTCATATCATATTTGTTATCATATTTGTTTCGTGTCAAATTCATACTACATGTTAAACTCGAAGCACATTTTTTAATTTTTACTAGACTCACACAATTTTTACTACAATTTTAAAAGAATAGACAATTTCCAGCATATTGCAAATTTCTACATATTGCGAATTTCCAAGAATCTACACCAAGTCTTTAAGGGATCAGTTGTCATGAATTACATAGACCCTAAGAATTAAATTTCCACCCAAGAAAAATATAACCACTCTGAAGAAACATTAATCATTCACTGTAACTTCCTATTTGAAAAGCAGATGATACCAATAAGTAAATGAAGGTCATAGTTTGATGAGCAACTTGAAAAGAACGCTCAGAAGGGAGCACCAACTTCACTCCTTGTTTCCGTAGGGCTATATAGTGCAGATCTGTTCCCTGGTCTATTCTCTTCCAACAGCTTCAAATGACATGTGCATCTGCTAAACATGGGCACTAAGGATATTCATTACTAAGATCTTCCATAGTTTTAAGGGGTTTATGTCGTGCTATGTTTTTTGGGCTTGGGTTAATTTTATGTGCAAACATAGGGAAATCTCTTTCACATTTTATTGTCCTATTTTCCCTTTCATTTGGGGATGTATTAACTTCTTAACTACCACTGTATTTTACCCCAAAGCATAGATTTGCTAAGAAAATTGAGAAGTTGGTACAATATAGATGCCATGAGAAGTCCAGTTATAGCTGTCATATATCTAAGCTAAGCTACCTCTTCATCTATCATCAACTGCTGTATTGAACTTTCGTTTGCACAAACAGGATGAGTTTCTCCCCCTTTTCAACATTATTACAATCAAGGAGGAGAAATTTCTTAATGTGATTGCCAATCAGGAAGAAGTGGTTTTTGAGCAATTGTCAATCAGTCAATCAGATATTTAGCTCCTGGAATAAAGAACTTGCAGGTAATAAGGCAACAAATGTTGCAGCCTCTAACACATTATTCATCCAATGTAAAAACTAAAAAACATGTCCAGTTATGGACTGTGAAGATGGGGAAGAGAGGGCTTTACTAGATTTTTACTAAGTTATTCATATTTCTTCAAAATTTTTGATTCAATCATAGATACAAAGGCAACTATTTAATTAATTCCAAAAAAAGAAAATAACAGTAAAGAAGTTATTTGTATAGTTAACAAGGTAAGTAAATTCGGAAGGGAGGGGGGTGTTACCAGTAGTCCATGCAAGAACATAAACCATTCTCAAAATGGTGAAAGCGCTTCCGATCCCTAACAATTATTTGACGTTTATAAATCTTTGAGATTAGTTTTATTGAATAGTGACAATCTTCACATACACGGAGGTTCTTGACTATCCGAAGTGGGGTTCCAGGGCTTGTGCTGATTAAGCCAAATGCAATTGCAATCCTTTCACTATGATAGTATAATGTGCTTTCTTTTTCCTCCTCATCAATGTTAAGCAAAACTTGTGTGGTATCTGGCTTATATCCTACTGACCTCATTTGTTCGGCAATTTCCTGCAGCATTGAATGAATCTCTTTGGCTCTGGGGTGGGAGTCATCTTCCACAAGAAACTCATGAACAATTCCATCAAGCTCAATCCAACTGCATCCAGGGTCTTTCTTTACATCCATCTCCTTCATTTTTAACCTCACCCTTGCAACTGACTCCCAATCTCTGGAAGAAGCATATATATTTGACAGTGCCACATAAGCTCCGCTATCACGAGGAGCCATATTCATCAAAATCCTAGCCACACGGTCACCCATCTCAATATTACCATGCATCTTACAGGCACCTAATAAAGCCTTCCAAATCACATCATCTGGTGTTATTGGCATGTTTAATATAAACTCTTCAGCTTCTTTCAATTGCCCAGCTCGACCTAATAGATCAATCATACACCCATAATGTTCAAGCCTAGGTTCAAAGCCAACCACATTGACCATATGATTGAAAAATAAACGGCCCTCTTCCACTAACCCTGCATGGCTGCAAGCACTCAAGACACCGATATAAACAACATCACTAGGAGTTACCCCTTCACGTTCCATCCTTGAAAAATAGTCAAGAGCATCCTCTGCTCTACCATGCATTGCAAAACCCCCGATTATCGCGCTCCAAGTAACTGTATTCCGTTTACTTATCCCCTCAAAGACCTGAACTGCCTTCTCAATACTCCCGCACTTAGAATACATATCAATCAAAGCAGAGCCAAGCACATCATCAATCTCAATCTCCTTCTTCTTAGAGTACAAATGCACCCATTTCCCCAACTCGAGTGCCCCCAGTCTTGAAATTGCAGGAAGAACACTCACCAAAGTCACATAATTAGGCCTCACTTCCCCCATTTGCATCAAACGAAACATCTCAATTGCTTCCTTAAAATACCCATTTTGCGCATACCCAGAAATCATCACATTCCATGAAATCACACTTCTTTGAGTCATTTTATCGAACAATTCCCTAGCAGCCCTTAAATCCCCAACTCTTACATGCCCATCAATAATCACATTCCATAAAACAATATTACCCTCTACTCTCCTCTTATCCTTTACTAGGTTGCCACCATTTTCAAATTCAACCATCATTTTGTTGAGCAAAAAATGAGCTTTTTCCATGGCCCCACACATGACATACATTCTAACAAGATTGCTAGCAACAAACTCGTCTTTTTCAAAGCCAAATTTCACCGCTAAACCATGAACCTGTTCCCCTTCCAGAAGCGTCCCAGTTCTAGCACAGGCCTTTAAAACTGAAGGCAAAGTAAATCTATTAGGCAAAACGGTCCCGTCAGAGACCATTTCAGCAAATACAAACAATGCTTCTAACGGCTCTTTTGTTTCATTGTTTTCATCAGATTCTGCTAGAGCTCTGATGATTGTGTTCCAAGAAAAACAGTTAGGTTCCCGCATTTGGCGGAAAACCTTGCGGGCGTAATCGATGTCGCGGTGGGAGGAAAGGGAGCAGATTTTGAGGATTTCGGCGGCGGCTAAAGGGTCGTGGATTCGGCCTGTTTTGAGGAAGAGGGCGTGGACTTGATGGACGTCTCTCATGGTTTTGCATCTTGTAATTTGTGGGAAGAGTGATGATGGGTGAGTTGGTGAGGCGGCTGCGGCTGTGGAGTTGTAGATTGTCGTTGAATTCATCCAATTGGGGGAAAACGATGGAGGTTCTATGAAGCTGTTGATGAGGTGTTTTTTTTTTTGTTTGAGTTTTCTTCCAAGGATAGGGCGGGAGCTGGTGAATACGGTTGTGACTGTAAGGAGAACCAATGAAACCGTGCCATGTCATTTCATAAAGTTAAATGTTACTATTATTTTTATTAAAAAGCGTATAAATAAAAATGCTATCTTACGAAACTGTTGCTTTAATTTGCCACTTCTTTGTAACAGATAAGTAATTCAAAAGCTCTCAAATCTGACCATTTAAAATATAATATTATAATATAAAAAAATAAAATATTTTAGTGATATAATTTAAAATTTTAATAATAATTATAAATAAATTTAATAAAATTAATATTTTATATTTTTATTAATAAAAATTTTGATGCATATTTTTTTTTTATAAAATATAATATAAATACGTAAATTTAATATTTTATATGATATAAATATACGAATTTATAGCTCTATGATCTCATCAACTTAGATTCGAGTTTTATGATCATTCTTTCTATGTTATTTATCCTATGGAGTATGACTGTTCATTGCATGATAATGAGATTATATTTAGATTTTTTTTTTATTTTATTAATTTAAAAATTTTAATTGTTATAATATATTTTAGGATCAATGTATTGTAAATGATGGAAATAAATATTTTAATATATTAATGTTAATTTTTTAAATGAATTTTTTTAGACATGAAATTTTAGTGAATTTTGAATTTCATTAATATTAAATATTTAAATTATCAATATTTATAAAAAAATTATTTGCAATAATAATATTGATTAGTAAAAGCAATTATAAAAGATAAAATTGTGGTTTATAAGAACTTTTGACAATTATTATTGTCGTTATTTAAATAATTATTGCAATGATAAAATAATTATTGTCAAAATCGATTTGTAACAAAAAAAATTATTGTGTTGCAAAAAAAATTAAACAATAAAAATAATATTATTACATAAAAGTTTTGGTTACTAAATATGTAATTATTAACAGAAAATTTCAATAACCACGCTAAATTATTGTTTAAACATAATTTATTTACAACGAGAAAAAATTATTGCAATAAACATTTTAAAAATAAATTTTCATGCAATGAAAATCGTTATGCATTCTTTTAGCAACAAAGATAATCGTTATGTATTCTTTCAGCAACAAAGATAGCGAAAACAACGCTTTTTCTCGTTATGAAAAAGTTTTCGCAACGTTAAACTGACATTTTACATCGGCATTAAATGTTGTTGTTAAAACAATGTTTTTAATAACGGCTTAAGCCAATATAAACGGATTACTAATATTATTTGTTCGAAATGTATGATTGATATTTTCCAACTTGGATTAAGCAAATTTGTTAATGGCATGCTAGTAATTAAGCAATTGTTTCGTTGATAAAAGATACAATTTTGTTTTTAATACCTGTAATTTCGCTTTATTAATATAATGTTGAAACTCAAGATTTTTAAAATAAAATTTAAAAGTATTCCGTTGACGACTCATTAATAATCCTTGTATTCAAATCATTTTGCAAATCAATGCTTACACTTTTATACTTTTATTTAAACAGTAGTTGTATACTCAAGTTTTTTAATCTGTTTTTTTATTGCTATTTATACATGAATATATACATTTATTTATTAAATTAATATTTACGCTTTTTTTTTCTACATTCAAGCACTTTGTTTGATGTAATTAGATGCATATATCTCTTTACTCAAATTTAGAGTTATGATCGAAAATTGAATCATCTTTTTTCGACATTTTCCTATTTGTTTACTTTTAATATATATAAATTGGAGTAATTTTCATTAATATATTTGATATTTGTTTCCTTTTAAAAACAATTTATAAAGTTAGTCCACTTGAATTAGGTAAATGCATCAGTCGTATATATATATTTTTAATAAAAGAAGTTGCAATTTATGAAAATAAAATGAGTCATAGAAGTTATTTCTTAAGATTTATTAAAAATTATAAAAATAAAAAATGCCAATGAAATAAACTTGTAATGAAAATTAAATAACATTATATCTGCATTACCATAAGAATTTCAAATTCTAAATCGAAAATCCCTTTAAGCCGATCTTTTATTTTTATTTTCAAATTCTACATTTGAATGCAAAAAATATTCTAATTTAGAGAGGGGAGATAATCTCAAAGTCATCCCAGATATCATGTGTATGTGCATAAACAAAAAGGTAGAAAGCTTGGATTCAATGGTTTGCAAAAACCCCCTCAAAGGAAATCCATGGGTGAGGCAGTACCCATTGCAATCTTTGAACTATGAACATGGCCCCATCACTACTTCCCATTCCTTTGGATTTTTTGCAACACTTGTTTTCTCTTAAACCCAACGAAAAGAAAATTATAATGATTTATTTAATGATAAAGTTGAAGAATGAGTAGCATGGGCAAAGGTTTTCACCTATGTTGAAGAAGATGGCCAAGCACAAAAGACCAAGAAAGAAGCATTTCAATGGAAGAGAAAGATTGTCAGCACACATTCTATTTGTTTGAAATTGGATGGCTAAGCCAATTTACCCTCTCAAAGCCACCTTATATAATAGCAATTCTTGTATATCTTATTTTCAATTAAAAAATTATTTTATCTCTTGGATTTTTTTGGTACATGTTTCTATCTTGGAAATTTTAATTTATTTGAAAAGACAATCCTTCAAATTTTGGCACTAAAAAGTTTCTGACTTATGGTGGATATACATGGTAATTTAATAATTGCTTAAGATGTGCCTTGTTAGTTTTTCTTGATATATTATTCTTATTTAAGGTTTATCCCTAGACTTATTTAAGGATTAGATTAAATTACTTATTTAAGTTCGAAAGTTTGTCCAAATTCTGAGAGAATATGGACAAAAAATTAAAACCTGTTAAATGAGTTTGGGCATACCTTTTAAATTTGTTTAAATGTTGGACCGATCTTAGACAAAAAAATTTAAAACTCGAGCCCAATTTAAATTCACATATATATAAATTTTTTAATTTTATGTATATGCAAATTATATATAAATTAATTCATATATTTATAAAAAATAAAAATAAAAATTATATATTTTATTAAACTTAATTTTAATTTTTAATTTTTATATATATATGTGAATTAAATATAATCACATTAAATTTAATTTAATCACATTTTTTTAATTTTTTATTATATAAATTAAGTTTAATTGGTGGGTTTGAGATTTATCTTTTTAATTTGAACCAAGCTTAAAAAAAATTTTAAGGTCCAAAATTTTGGGTCGAGCCGAACTTAAGTAAGTATATAAACTATTAATACCACATATGAACTCGACTCAAATCCCATTCAGCTCGGCCCATGAATACTTCTATATATCCCATGTTAGAAATATAGATTTTCTCTAATATTTATATGAAAACAATTAAGATATGATTAAGGATTGAACTTTAAAAAAAAATCTCTTTCCCAATATTGTTTTTCATATTTATCTATACCATTTATATAAATAAAATGATGTTTAATATGTTCTCTTGAGATTTATGATCTAGAGTTTAAGGTTTAAGAAAAAGGATATATTTATACTAAGTGCTTTTGTTGAATTTTACCTTAAATAGTACCCAAAAAAAATTAAAATTTAAGGAACTTTAAGCAACCAAAAATAAATAAATAAAAGTAAAAAGATGGTCTAATAATTAAACTTGTTCGTGGTTAGGTTCCCCGACCAAACCTGAAAGTCAGGCTAAATTTTTGAAAAGCCTGAACATGAATTTTAAACATGTTAAATAGGTTTAGATAAATAAATGAGGCCCAACAAAAAAATAGAATTAGGCTAGGGTTTCCTATTTATAACCTAGACCTAATTCGATCTGACTCGAAAACTAAAAAATATTTTTTATCATATTGGGATAAAAACATTTGCTTTATTTTTTCATAATGGACAAAGCCCATTTGCCTTATTATTTATAATATGATGAAGCTTATTTTTTAATACAAAATAAAAATCTAATTTTAAATTACATTCAACAAAATTAAGTTGGACCTAAGCTGAAATTATTTATAAAGTCAATTAAAATTAGCTAACTTAATAATTAAAAAAACTCTTTTTTTTTAATTTTAAATATCAGTGCTTTGGGCGAATTTGAATTTTATTATTATATGTTAGAACGGGCTTAGGTAGAAATAAGGCTAAAAAAATCTAGCCAAACCAGGTCTGAACTTGCTTAAAATGTTAGAATATCATGCTAAACCTGATTCAAACCCAGTTTAGCCTATGAACAATACTACTAAAGATGGAAGACTTCAATATAAAAAGATTCAATAGGTTTTCTTTTCTTCTTTTTGGATGACTAATAATATTTGTCATAACGTCTAGATCCGGGGATCTATCGCTAGACATTAACTTGAAGGAGTCGCCACCAATCTTTTTTATCTAGGTGCAATTGGTCACCTAAGAAATCTATCATTTTAGGAAACACCTAAGTTTAACGGTCCCTAAAAGAATAGATTCGGGTCTACTAACTAGAACAGGGTTCGGGAGTTCGATTACGTGTGAGGAAGGTTATAGCACCCTCACAACGCCCATCAAAAGATGGTACCAGCTTAATTTTGTGTTATCCAATAAGCCTTAAAAATTTATCAAGTAATTAGTTATTGAAAATTATTCTCAATTGACTCTAATACTTTTAGCAAAAAATTAAAAAAATTTACTCACCTCAAGAGTATGCAAGAAACTACTGTTTCACTTGCAGAGGCTCCGTCGTCGGATTATTTAACATTAAAAAAATAAAAAAGAAGGAAAAATTATTGTTTTTGTGCAGAAAAAATTGATACTTTCAATTTTTCCTAAAAATATTTTTTTAAAATTTTAATTTCGAGAAAATTTGATATTTTCAACTTTTCCTCAAAAATATTTTTTGAAAACTTTAATTTCGAAGAAAATTTGATATTTTCAACTTTTCCTCAAAAATATTTTTTGAAAACTTTAATTTCGAAGAAAATTGATATTTTCAACTTTTCTTTAAAAATATTTTTTTTAAAATACTTATTTTTAAAAAAAATTGATATTTTTAATTTTTTCTCAAAAATAGGACCTCAGCA